AAGGTAAAGTCGGTGGCCCTGTTCTCATGGTACAACTTAAAGGGGTCAGACAACCCCAAAGACAAAAATTACAAGCCACCTGCCTCTGCCCCAACTGGCCAGTCTGAGGAGCCGGTTGCGGTAGAGCCTTCCACTGAGCCTTCCACTGAGCCTGCTGCCACTACCACTGACATGCCTCCTGGACCTTCCACTACTACTGGTCCGTCTACTTTAGTTGGCCCGGGGATTCCATCTTCCCGGGCCCATCCTGTCACTGCCCACCAGCTGAGCCAGGCACTGCACAGCTTGAAGAACTGGATGTCAACTGCGTCATCCAAGTTGTCTACTCTGTCTTCCACTATTGAGGCTCAGTCGGCACCACAGACAACTGAGATTCCACAGTCCATTGAGGACACGCTGAAGAAGATCCTGGAGAACCAGGAAAAGATCATGAGTACTCAGACTGCCTTGTCTAAGGTAGTAGATTCACATGGCAAGGCTCTGAAGGAGCTTTCTCGGGAGCACAAGAAGATGAGAAAAACACGGGCTTCCAAGGAGTCTGTGAAGGAGCTCCGAGTGGATGTGGACAAGTTGATGGCAGATCAGATGCCTCTAGACTTGCTATTTGGGGATCCATCCCCAGCAGTAGCACCAGCAGCAGAGCCACAGCAGGAGCAGACACAAAGGCTTCCAAGGAAGAAGAGGAAGCTCCCCAATGCAGATGAGGCGATTATCCAGTTGGCGGACCCACCGGAGGCCTCCTCCAGTTAGCCACAGGATGCCCCTGATATTCAGCCCGTCCAGGTCCAGGCCCCAGTCCCAGCAGCTGATCAGCAGGAGATCGGGAACCAGTCTAAGGTTCCCGCACATACAGAGGACCCGGGGACCACTCATGGTCCCATGCATACTGACGAGGCTTAGGGAGTTCCCATATCCTTTCCTTATGATTTTTGGTGCTTTTGCTTAGTTGGCATTGGGGACAATGCCAGCTTTTATTTGAGGGGGTGCGCCCTACATTTTTATTCATTGGATGACTGTATATATAGATTAACTTAGTTTATGCTTACTGTTGATTTTCTATTTGGTCTGTATATAACTTTACATTTAGTTACTTTTATCGTACTTTTTATCTTCTCTCTGGTCTGTATATAAAGTTACATTATTGTATATATTCATCCCCCGTTGTATATTCTAATCCCCAATTGTAAATATTCATTCTATTTTCTATTTTCGTAAAAAAAATTTGTTTTTAGCTTCGTAGTTAGGCTCGTAGCCTTTTGTTTCGTTTTTGGCGCTTTCAATAACAACCTTCTTAAGGGTTGAGTCCATTTTCGTTTTTCATTTTCTTTTGTTTTTGGTAGTTTATAGTTAAGGGTACCTCAATCAAAGCTTCACTTGAGCCTAACACATTTGCCTTTGATCCCATGGTCAAAGACAAGTGGTTGTGTTTAGGATGGTGAAAGTAGTGACCTTGAGACTCTTGTGTTGACCAAACAATCATCATGTGGTCTTTCGGAACTATTGTGTGCTCGATCGTGTCTAGGGTTGTTTTGGGCCCCCGACTCTATGTCTTTAACAATCCTTGAGTGTGTGTGGTGAGAAATTGAATTTTGAGTCCAAGTCTCGAGCCAATGGTCTAGAATTTGCCCTGAATGTTCGTTGAGGAAAAATTTTGAGTGAAATTCGTCTTGAGAAGTGATTATAGGCTCTCCTTGATCCAAATGATAGTTGAACAATTCCATAGCCTACCAATGATATAATCCCTATCTAACCCTTTTGAGCCTTAAACCTTTTCATTTTAAGAACTAATGCTACAAGCCTATACCCGTTCTAAATTATACCCTCTCTTGGCACCCAAATCTTCCCTTGAGTAATGGCAAAAGTCTAAGTTTGGGGGGGGGGAGACAAGAAAGGAAACAAAGTGGTCAATGGTATGAAAGCAAAAGAAAAGGAAGGCAATGAAAAAGAAAGAAAAGAAAAAGACAAAAAGAAAGCCCAATGTGAAAAAGAATAAAAAGGGATTCAAGAAAAACAAAAGAGAAAAAGGTGTGGAAAAAGTAGAAAAAGGAGAAACATTTTGAATTGCGTAAGAAAGAGTGACAATGTGTCTCTCTAACCCCTTGAAAAGAAGTGAAATACTCAAAGAGCCAAGGGAATTGTGCCAAAATGAATCAAAAGAAGTGCTTAAGGGAAGATGGAACCCATATAGACCAACAACTTTTCCTACCCTGAACCAAAAGCCTTCACGTTGACTCCACAAAAGCCCTATAAGATCTTGAGTTGGATGACGCTCCCATTAGTGGATACTTACATGAGGGTCAAGCATATGGTACTTAGATCCGGACTTGTGACCTTTCCTTGAGAGAGACGAGAGAATTCCCATTAACCTCGGTTTGTGTGCTTATACTCTAAAAGGTGAGGTTTGCTTAGGAAAGAGTTGAGGATGTGTGAGTTTGGGTTCCACAGCTACCAAAGTAATTGAGAGAGTTCTTTGATGTAATGAGTCAATTCTTGATGTTTTTGTGTCACACTTGATCCATAGTTTTTCAAAGTTTAAATGCTATTAATGATCCATTCGTATTGAGGGCAATTGTTAGTCCCAGTTGATGCTTGTTGAGGTTACTTTAGGACAGCTGGAATTACTTGGATTTTCCTTTAAGGGGTGGGTCTTATTTTGTTAGCTTGAGGACAACAAAAGGCTTAAGTTTGGGGAAGTTGATAAGTTGGGATTTTAACGTGTTTTATGCTCCTACTTGCCTATGCTTTGATTATAAATTGTTACAAAATAGACCCAAAAGGCTCATAAGTTGTGCTTGATTGCAAGTTTGATCGACAAAGTGAGAAAAATCAAAGACCGGCTCAAAAGGAGTGGAACCTGCTCAAGTATCAAAGACCAAGAAATCTGAGGGAAAGCAGGCCTAGTGCGGACCGCGCAAAGTCGAATGCGGCCGCACTAATTGGTTTACAGAATTGGCAAAACAAGCTTCAGGCAACGTGGCCGCGGTACATATCTCGCGGTCCACGGTGAAGGCTCCGCGGCTGCACTACCTTTCTATGCGGTCCGCGGACGAGAGATTCAGAGAGATGGAAGTAAGCCAAGCCCAAGCCATGCGGTCCGCGGTCGTGATTGTGCGGACCGTGCCAGCTGCTTCCGCGGCCGCGATCCATTCTACGCTGTCCGCGGAGCCCAAGTTCAGAGAAGCAAGAATTGAAGTCAAAGAGCCTAGTGGGGCCGTGATCCATTTAGTGCGGCCCGCACTGACCCCGTAGGGGTATTTTTGTCCAGTTTTTTCAGCCTAGTATAAATACAATATTTTACCATTTTTAGGTTATCTGTTATCTTCAGACTTGAGCTGTGCTCGTGGGAACGAATATTGTAGCCATTTTGCACTTCAGATTTAAATTTACAATAGATTCTTGTAGTTTCATTTTTGCAATTAATTACTATGCTTTGTTCTTCATCTATTTCTTTATTTTCTTTGTCAAGCCTGAGTATCTAAACCCATTAGCTAGGGTTGTGGCTCAACCCTAGTGTGGGTAATTGATGGGTGTTGCCATCTAGGGTTAGATTGACTATGGGTGTTTGTTATTTGGGTTGATTTTATGTTTTAATCTAAGAATTGGTAGTTGCAAACACTGATTCAAGCTTTGTGGATTTGACTCTTCTTGAGAAAGAGAGTCCATGTCTCCAAAATTGACCCAACAAGGAATTGGGATGGACTCATGAGAAATGATAGTCCCAATTAGCGGGTTAAACCTCGAGAGAGTAATTACCCTACTTGAACCCTAGTTGCTTGATCTAATTTGCCTACCCATTTGGTCTCGAGAGAGACAATTGGGCAAAATCACTCTCTCTACCGAGGAGTGTGAGAGTGGGTAAAATTGTGCAACGGTTATAGCATAAGCCCCGGTTATGTCAATCGAACCTTAGTAACATCTACTCGTCAATTAGCCACCTAGGTGATGTCACGACGCTAGTTCCCTTCTTCCCATTAGATACAACTTAGCAATCTTCTCGTAGCATAATTTAGTTGCAGTCAATAGTTAGATAATAGTAGTTATAATTTGAAAACCCAAAATATGTTTGAAGTGACATTAGGAGTAATTACACATTTCTAGGCTAGACAGATAATCCAACTCCACTACTAGCTCCCTGAGGAATTCGATCCCAACTCTCATATCGGGTAAAAGCTATTGTGACCCGCTCTTCCTACCTTGGTGTAGCGTCAAGTTGGAAGCGATCACCAAATAGCACTATTTGTACTAGCTGAACCTTTCCTGCATATGACAGCTTCTTAGCGGTCCTAAGATGAAATTTTTGCCACCATTTTGTCGATTAATGGTTTCCACTGAATTAAAGAAAGCTTTTTTGTGGAGAGGGGGATTCCGATGTAATTGAATGGAAGTTCATCTGACATATTACCAAGTTTTTGTAGTATCAGATCTCTAGAGGTTTGAGAGACACCTCCAAAATAAACTGAACTTTTGTCCAAGTTGCTTGTAATCCAGAAGCATTAGAGAAGTCCAAGGATTTATGAATTTTAGAGACCGATGATACTTCCCCTTTGGCAAACAGGAGCAAATCATCTACAAAGCATAGATAAGTAACTTCTAGTTTAGCACATCTGGGATGGTATCTAAAACCTTTATCTTCTTTTAACCTGTTGAGATTTCTTCTTAAGTACTCCATAACTATGGCAAATAAGAAGGGTGACATTGGGTCACGTTGTCTTAAGCCTCTTGCGGCATCAAAGGGATCAGTAGGTTCTCCATTAATCAAGACAGCTTAGTTTACTGTTCTAACACATTCTAGCACCCAGAGAATGAATCTTCTAGGAAATTTTAGCTCCTCCATTACCTGCTCCAGGAATATCCATTCTACTGAATCGTAGGCTTTTTTCAAGTCTATTTTTATCATACACCTAGGAGATATGTTCTTCCTAGTGTAAGCTCTGAAGAGCTCATGTGCCATTTGGATGTTATCAGCTACTTTCCTTCTAGGGATGAACCCAGATTGGGCATCACAAATAATGTCCCCTATGATCTATTGAATCCTTGCTGCTAGGATCTTTGCAATACATTATAAAGCACACTAAAACATGCAATAGGTCGAAAATCTTTCCTGAATTTGGACATGCTGTCTTAGGGATAAGGGTAATGGCTGTGCAATTTATGCTCCTGTGTAGTCTCCCTGTAGCAAAAAAGTTCTTGACTGCCTCACAAAGATATGTTCTGACTATATTCCATGACTTTTTGAAGAAATACGCATTATATCCATCTACCCCAGGGGATTTATCATCACCTATGGAAGATAAGCACTCGTAAATCTCCTTGTCAGTAACCTCTTTACAAAGAAATATCTGTTGAGCATGAGATAGCACAGGGCCAGTCTTCATGACCTGCTTGTTGATAGCAGGCAGCGTCTGTGCTGTGGTGCCCATTAATCCTTTATAGAAATTAATAATCTCTTCCTTTATCTCAGTAGTATCTGTTAGTTTGTTGCCCGCAATGGAGTTGAGTTCCACAATCTGTTTTCTTTGGCTTCTTTCCTTTAGGACAGCCGAGATATACTTTGTATTAGAATCCCCAAGTTGTATCCATTTAACTCTGGACTTCTGTTTCATGACACTCTTTTCAATTAAAGACCACTTCTCAAGCTTCAGTATAGTATTTTTTTCCACCTCCAATAGGTCATCTGAATACCGCTTTGTCAACTTCTCTTGAATCATCCTAAGTTCCTTTCTGGTATTCTCTATTTGATGAGAGATCCCTTTGAATTCCTCAGCATTGATTTTCTTGAGCACAGGTCTAAGTTTTTTTAGCTTTAGCCAGATATTTTTCATTGGATCCTCAGCTAGCTTGTGGCTCCAGACTCTTGCAACAGTAGCTCCAAACACACTGTGATCGGCCCAAACATTGAAGAATTTAAAAGGGATTTTGCCATTCCTCTGAGACATCTTAATGGTAAATAACATGGGGGAGTGGTCAGATACATAGGACATGTCATACTCAGTATAGATGTGCCCCCAAATCATCATTCAGGCATCATTTCCAAATGCTCTATCTATTCTGCTATAGATCCTATCCACCCCTTGTTGCTTATTGGACCATGTGTAGTATTCCCCCTTCCAAGGTAGCTCATTAAGAAATAAGCTATAGATGCAATCAGAGAAGTCTTTCACTTCAGCACTGGTTATGGGATTACCAAACAACCTATCATGGGGGTATAAAGGTGCATTAAAATCACCACATACCATCCAAGGAGTAGTTACCTGAGACATTTCTATCAGTTGATCCCAAAAGGACCTTCGTTGATCCATAGTGTTATATCCATATATTATGGTCAAGTTACAGTCAATACTATCAGTTTTCCCCTTCACCATACTATAAATCAGCTGGTCCTCTATTCTGATAATGGCAGTATCATATATATAAGCATCCCATAAGATCCAAATTCTACCATTTGCTGCCTTCTGATAATTACCCTGCATCATCCGGCCTGGGGCAATGTTCTTACTAATTAGGCTAGCTTTTGGTTCTTTGAATCGAGTTTCAATTAAACCTGCTAGTTTAATGTGTTTCAGCTTTAAAAAACTCCTCAGTCCCTTTTGGTTATACCTCTTGTTAATACCCCTAACATTCCATATCAACTAAGTCATTGAACGGTTAATTTTTTACTCCATTGGCAGAGGCTAATGGACTTCCTGTCCTATGTCCCTTAGATATCCAAAGAACACCTCCTTTCTGAGTGGTTACTGACTTTAACTCAAGGAACTCTATTGTGCTCCCTAGTTCAGGACTCTTTGTGACATTTATGCTCCTTGTGTTCGTCAAGATACTCATCTGCAATGTTGCTTGCTCATCCTGCTGTTTCTGCAGGATTTTTAAGCCATATCATCCCTCTAACCTCTCAGGTAAAGACTGGATACTAGCTTGATTATTGATAGTATTCAGAGGATGTTCTTTGTAGGGGAATTTGATAGCTTGTTTGTTCACCCATATCACATTGAGGAGTAGATTTAGCTGCATCACTGTTCTGCTAAGAGACAGAGGCATTACCACCTTGGGGTCCATCTCTAACTTTCCACACTTGTACAGGGGCTGGCCTTTGTTGGTGAGGAGGAGGGTTTCTCCTTCTCCTTCTTCTTGGTCTTTCAAATTGCTGCTCAACCCCTTTTGGCTGTGGGAGACACATGTGTCCTATTTTTAGGCATTTATCATAGAACTCAGGTTTCCAATCATAAATAATAGCTTGTTGAAATTGTTGACCATTTTGGTCAAAAACAGTCACCTCACTAGGTAAGGCTTTAGTGACATTTACTTCAATCAGCATTCGCGTAAAAGAAATCCTAGTTTGTTTAGTGGTGCACTCGTCCGCAAAGAGAGGGGTTCTCATAGAACTAGCAATCCGACTAAGAGATTTGAATCCCCAACAGGACATAGGGAGTTCAGGGAATCTAACCTATAAGGGGATCTCAGTAAGGAATTCCACATTCAAATCGAAATCTGGTGACCAGGGTTTGAGGATGATAGGCTTGTTATTGATAGTATATGGTCTAGCATGAAAGATTGATTTCATATCCTCCTTTGATTGAAACCGAACCACATAGTAACCCTCTTCATGCAAGAAAATCTCTGGGAACTCCACATTCTTCCAGGTTTGAGCTACATATCGACTCATAGCATTATACCCTGGGGTTTCACCAATCACATAGACAATCAGAGCACTACGCCATTTTTCAGCCTATTTTTCAACTTCAGTTGTATCTAATTGAACTATAATTTTCCCATCTACTATTGTAGAAGGAATATAAGCTAGATTCATACCATTTTCAGCCCATCGATTGTCGGAGAACAGAGTGGCCCATGTCTTCTTTGGCATCATATTTTCCTCACCAGCTTTTAGATCTGGGCTCTCTTGTCTAGGTTCAGTTTTCCCAATTTGTTCCTCTTCCCTCAAAGGCTCCTTAGATTTGTCCAGTGAATTGATAGCCTCTAGATTTGTGATAATTAGAGCTTCTGGCGTTTAACCTCCTGATTGTTCCCCATTGAGGTTCAACACTTTAGAAACCGCTGAGTTGCTCAAAGAGACTCTAGATTCCCCATTCAAGGGTCATTGGTTGGGAGGGGGGGTTGACAACAATTGGTCTTGTATCGGTATCTCCTTCTGTAGCCTAGTTCCCACCGAGCTTCCAAAGGCAGCGATAGGCAGTTTTTTTGGTCGGCCCCGTCCTCTTCCTCGTCCTTTGGCCATGGATCCACCGGAGGTACAGGTTTAACTAACGTGCACCAAGAGCATGGCTTAGAGAGAGAGAATCTTTCTTGTTTTTTTTTATTACTTGAATTTTTGTTATTTTTTATCCGGACTATAGTATTAGTGTGCTAAAATAATTTATACAATAGAGAAATTGTTATTAGTTGTTAAAAAAAAGTTAAGTAGTTACAGTAAAAAGAGCTCATTCAAAATCCACATGACCCTCTATTCCCTTTAAACACAAGAATTCGGAGGGGTTGAATCTCATGCCTACTTCTTCACCTCTAACTTCCTCTATTGGTTCCTCCAGATCAATAGAAAAGTTTACTCTACTTAGATCACAGATGTCCAAGTGTATACTTCTCATCACAATGAAAGCAAAGTCCATTAGCTCTTTTTTTTCTTAAGAATTTGGGATTCTTGTATATAGTTTTACTGGTTCCAACTTGAGAATTCTGTTTTTTTGGAAGTTCTGGTTAGGTTTAGAATATAGTTGATAGGATTGGTTACTATTATTATTAGGATTGGTTTGAAATCTTTGGATATATCTGGGGTGTGAAAGAATTGGGGTGGTCCTTAAGGATTCTTTTTTGGATCAGCAGTTTTTCTTCTTGGATTTTGGCTAGACTGATGGCTTTTTGTATAGATCTGGGAGCAAACATTTTCACTGGTAATCCAGTTTCCTTTTTAAGTCCCTTCAAGAAACAATTAACAATATACTCCTTACTCAATGCTACTCGAGTTAGTAATTCATCAAACACATCTATGTAATTCTGCACAATGTTAGTTTGTTTTAGATCTTTCAAATCCCTCGTTGGATCATCAAAAAGTTCAGATCCAAATCTAGAATACAGACAAATTACATATTCCTCCCATCTAGGCCATTCTCTAGTAATCCTAGTTTTCATATAAATTTGATACCAATGTAGAGCTTTACCTTCAAGCCAGAAAGAAGTTATCTTGACTCTTAAGGTTGCTGGAGTTTCAGTTACTTCGAAAAATTGTCCACACTGATACAATCAATCATGTTGCCCCACCCCATCATCTTTTCGAGCCCTAGCATCTTCAGGGGCAACTTCATTCTCTTCATCTCCCCATGCTCTGGGCCTATTAGGGACAACTTCCTCTGTTGGTCTCCAATTGCCAATAGTTGGTAGTAAAATCCTTTTGAATACCTCAATAGATCTACCAATTTCTCATCGACAGTCTTCCTCAACTCCTACATACTACCATTGATGTCATCGAGGACCCACGAAGTCCATCGAGATCTCTGCGTAGCTCCTGAATTCATGTATTGTCCTCAACTCCTACAAACTACCATTGATGTCATCGAGGACCCACGAAGTCCATCGAGATCTCTGCGTAGCTCCTGAATTCATGTATTGTGCTCATCCATTTTCACCCACATATCCAAGGAAGGGTAAGCTCTGATATCAATGATGCAATCTTCACAATTGAAAATTGAATCGAGAGATCTAACGAACAACGATAGAAGAATTTCTCTTGAACTATCAGTCAAATAATTAGATTATTAATTTAGACACAGAGAGAGAGAGAGAGAGAGAGAGAGAGAGAGAGAGAGAGAGAGAGAGAGAGAGAGAGAGAGAGAGAGAGAGAGAGAGAGAGTATTGACTGATAGGAGTAAAATCATATCTACAAATGGGAACAAATCCTGTTAATATAGCCTAGGGAATCTGGGAGGGAAAGTTAGTTGCAACTAACTTTGGGAAATCATATGCTCCACACGTGTTTACGACGAACTGTCCTAACTAACTTTCAACTGGAAAATCTGAAAACCAAAATGCAAAATAAAAATTACAAAGAAATGCGTTCCTAATACAATTGGATCATAACAAAAAATGAGAATTTGACAGTAATAGTTTTTGCTAGGATTCTAGGCAAATACTAGATTTAGCATTTAAAGCCAAAAAAATTGGCATTTGGCAAGGAATAACCAATGTATATCATGTCAATCAGTATTACACATATATTTTCATAGAAGTATACTAATATATATGTTTGAAATAAAAAATACCGATATATATATATGATATACATGAGATACAATGATTATGTAAAAGATATATACGGTAGTACAAGTGTATATACATTGATATATGATTGAGTACACCAATATACAAATGGGTTACTAGTGGATATATATATTCAAATCGTCAGAAATTCTGGTGGATTTTACTCGAAATTAATTCTTTCAAATCACCTCTAAACTACTGCAAAGATATCCTCAATTGTTTGCCAAAACACCCCACTTTATATCGAATCCAATTTCAAAAATCCGATTTTAAACTCAAAACTTCTTTAATTGAATTTATGATTTTCTCTCCAAGTTGTAATTTATCTAACAATACTTAATAAGGTTCTCAATTAAAATCAATTACAGATGTTTAATTCGAAATAAAATCACTACAATGTCGAATCAGATTAGAGGCAGAATAAATAATTCGAAAAAAGTGGATTTGAGATACTTCCTTTCTTGTTAGGCTAGGTTTGGAGTTTGCCCATGGTGATATCTGAGTCGCTGTTTGCTGCGAAGTTAGGATTTTAGGGTTATTTGATCTTTTGCTATAAGCTGTAAGTTTAAAGATAAATATGCAATAGGAAAAAAATGTGTCTATTTTGTGTTCCAATCTTTTACTCGGATTAGGGATGAAAAAACTAACCCAAACTCATTTGACATGCCCG